TATGCTGCAGTCCCGGGCACATATTCAAATGCGGCACCTGGGAGCAATAAACTCAGAGCAATATGCAATACGCGCTAGAGTTTATTCCTCTGTGCTAATTAGCAGGTGTAGATAACCCTGTTGGAGGAAAGACTTAGTTATTACATAAAACTGAAGTAAAACAAAGAATGTTCTATAACTGACTTTGAAGATGCAATTCAGACTTCAGATAATATATTTTCAGTATTAACCAGCTATATAAACTATGACTGTAAAGACTACTAAAAATTTTTATCAGACACTTTTAGCTTCACAGCACATTATTGGTTATGATAGCAATTTGATGATACAACTCTAGTCTATTATTATGGAGAGTATTTCTTTGAGTTGATACTGTTTTATTTCTGTTTAGTTTAGTATCTGTAACAGTTTAGCTTTGGTAAATTACAGATCAAGAAATCATGTTGAGTGTAATTTGACTCAAAATTGCATATCACATTTCCTCTAGTTAACATAGTTCAAGACCTTTGAAAGCCAAAGGATACCACAAATTTACTCTTAATAAAAGTAAAATCCTAGGTTCTCCACAGGCCCCGTCTCCTGCTCCTTTCAAAAGCTACTTCATGGTCCATCAGATCTCAGCTGACATACAGTTGGTACCTTTGGGAAAAATGGTCCTTTAATGCTTTACAATATTAGATAATAAGTAGTAAGATCTTGAAATGTGCTTCCTGAATTTGCAGAAATTAAGATAGCCTTAATCACAGAGAAGAAAAATTACAACTATCATTACCATATACTGATTAGAGAGATTGTGTTCCTCAAAATACAGGTCACCCCTAATGAGCTAAATAAATGCAGTCTCCCTTTCAGACGTGCCTTACACTTAAATCATATTTTTTTAATACCACACAATCTAACATTTCTGACTTCCTTATCCTTTTGATATGCATCCCACGATGGATGTGCTTTATGGAGGTGATGGGTGAAAGCTAATGAAAATATAAAGTTAAATGGTAATTTAGTTTAAAACAGACTGGCAATCTCTTGCCATTTATTTATTTATTTTTGACAGGAAAAATTGCCTGATCTTTCAATGCAATATACTTCTACGCTACCAGCATATCCCCAAATAACAAAACTGGCTATTTTTCCACTGCTCACTGAAAAAAAATCATTCTTGACCTCTGCAATCACCAGCTAATACCCGGTAGTATAACACTGTAGAATTTGGTATCATGATTTAAAAATAAATAAATAAATAAATGTTAAAAGATAACAAAAATTGATCATAAAATAATCCTCTATAAAATGAGCTGGAACATTTCTTACAGTGTTTTCCAAATCCAGCGTTTTCATTTTTATTACTAGCTAAATTTAATATATTCAAGGCAGAAAAGGTTCTTAAGCTACCAGTGAATAAAAAGTGAGGGTTTTTTTTTAAAGAAAAATTTTAAATTAACAAACCAAACCTAATTTAAAACTTAAATTAATAAAACCTAAAGTTATCATCATATATGGAAAACTATATTCAAGTAAATATTTACTGCCAGGGCTTTAGAGAAAGTGAAATCACTGAATGGTGACAATGATCGGCTAGAGCCATTTTAAGTACTAGATATGCTTCTGAAAACCATGGTCTCTTCTGCAGATGCAGAAACATCATCCTCTTCCTTTTTAGTTCCTTCACCTACTTTAGTTCAATGACCAACTGGAAAGCAAAAATGCAAGCAAGTTTTTTCCTTTTCTAATCTAAGTGTGAGGGCTTATAAGGATGAGATCTAGAAGTACTTAGGAGGATGAGATCTAGAAGTGCTAACACTGGTTACAGTGATCAGAAACAAATCACTTCATTCAGTAATTACTGATAATTCTCCTAAGTAACTAATCAACTTTAAATGCAAAACACGTTTAGATAAAACTTACATTAGATAAACTTTAAAAACAGTATCCAACTGACAACGTAAAAATGTTTTTGTGCATTTTAACAGAATTCAAATTTCCATCCATATGCAGCTTGACAGCAATGACAACTAAAAATCACCATCATCATCTAGCACAGCAGTTCCCAAACTGACAGATTGCGCCCACCAATTTAAAACAACACAACCTTCAGTACCACCAGCAAATTTTTCAGTTCAACATTAAGTACCTCCAGCAAATTTTTGTCATATAAATTAATTATAATAAATGTGTTAACGTGTACCACTGACAGATTATCTGCGTATCACTGGTGATACATGTACCACAGATTGGGATCTAGTGCAAAAAAACACATCATTCACCATTTAGTAACAAAAAAAAGTTTTCTTCACTTTATGCTGTACATGCGTTCCTGGAAAATGGCGCATAACTTGAATTTGCATAAAGGAAAAATACTTTACAATGTAACAAATAGGGATACATACCAAGACCTCAACTGTACTGACTCCCAGACCCATTTCTACCACTTTTACAAGACAATGTTGATACTTGCCTATAGCAGACAGTACACACAAGCACAGGGCACTATCATAATGGGGGTGGCAACTACAGAAACACGTGTCACAGACAACAAGCGAGGAGCACAGATCCACACAGGATCTATATTTTGGTGTGTGTCACTGCCACAATGCACTGCACAAAGCAGCTGACTGTAGGCTTCCACCACATCAATCACATAATAGTGAATTTACCTCACATATAAGAATTTTTGGTATAAAAAGGGTCATCGAATAACAGCAAATTAACACAAAGAACCTGCAAAAAGCGAGGGAAACCGGTAAAAGGTGAAAGTATTAAACTGAACATTTGTATATACTAAGCTATGTCAAACTTTAAAGTAATATACACAGGCATGACGCACCTTCTGATTGGCAAGACCGAAATAATAGCAACCAGTGTAAATCAACCTTTCTTTAGGAAAGTCAAAAGCACATTGCAAAATAAATAAGTAAATAACTAGTAGTATCTACTGCTTGACCTAAGGTTTCTTGTTTCCTAATTTAAAATCATACTCATTATCAGTTATAGCCAGCTGAGCAGAACATTACAAGGAAGCTATTAATGTATGTCCCAATCATCATGAGAGACCACCATTACAATTTAACCAGGAAAAATTAAACCTAAAAATAATGCATCACATATGAGCTCATGGCACCAGATAACAGCGTAAATTGGATTCCAGAAAACTACAGAAGAGCACTTTTGTGAGAATTTAGTCAAACAGGATCAGTGTGCTCCACTTACATGCATACTAGGTAAATGCATAATTTGCTTAACTGCATTATACAAATGCCAGTCCCAATTTGTTTCCTACTGTTTACATTGTAACAAACTCAGTTTATCTGCATTTCAGTTAAGTGCCTAGCACCTTTCAGCCCTACTGTCTATTTGGTAACTTAATTATACTTAGGTTAACTGCATGCCTGTACCTGTAATTGCCTACTTTGTAACTGTACTCCCATTAACCACACCAGACAAAACCAAGAGGAAAGAACTACCAAAGGGCTGCTATTAGAGGCCTTAAAATGACAGGAACTAGTTAGCATCACAGTTTCTACCTCCCCTCATTTTCAAATCTTCTACTAGCAGGCTCAAAACAGAAACCCTAAAAAAAGGGGGAATTAGTTAATTTTGGGGCTGACAGCACAATAGCAATGGGAGCACTAGGTACTGAAAGAGAACTGATAGTTTACAATGAGTATGGATAACTACATACTCCAGACAAGTAACAGCCTTTTTTCAATCCTGAATCTTTGTGCTTGCATGCAATACACTGTACATCTAAGCCAAGGAAATAACATTCCAACTCCAAAGCACCAAAATTAAATCTATGTCCATCTAAACCTACAGAAAACAACCACAGTTCACACTTAAATATTTTTTACAAGTCAACATGGGCACAATTTTCCAAGCTATTATTCCATGAGGAAAAAACCCCAACTAATAAATTGGATCGAATGATATGGAAGATGTTACAAACTCAACCACTAACACTTTAACCTATCAGAAAGTTAAGGAGCTGAAATACCAAAATCTCATCATTGGTCCTGCTTCAACATTCATTCTATTTTTTGCATTACCTGAACATACTGCAACACATACCTTCTGGTCAAGTTCATGCTGACCTGGGAGAGGTGATCAATTTCTGCTACAAAGAATGAGGACTGACATCCTTAAACCAGAGATGAGGACACAAAATACACACCCTTCCTCTTAAAACATCAGGGTAGTAATCTAAATAAACCAAGTTACTTGATTTTGTTTTAGGAAAAGCAATGCAGCTTTCACTATGATTAAGCTTTTATCACCCCTGATCCTCACCACCACAGTGAAGAAGTTAATTATCTAGCACGATTTATGACAGAAAGAAACAAATTAATACACATAAATAATAAAATTAATGGTTATTCAAATACTTAAATGATTGTTCAATGTGCAGAAATACTGCATTACTATAGGCTTCTGGTTTAGCAATACAAACTTGTTTGCTTTTTCTTGAGGTTAAATGCTATCAGTTAAGTGCATTCAACCAGGCCTGGCTATCACAAAACTAGAAGTTGATTAGACATTCCCAGCAGAGAAATCAACCGTACAGGTTCTCTTTCCTGTATGTGTTTGGCTAAAATATCTGCAGCATTTATCTTGCAAAAAAGCAGCCTCACCAATAGACATCTTGCTTTGGAATCAGTTAAAACTTTGCTGATATACAGATGAGAAAACACCTCTCAGCAATTCATGAAAATATTATTTACTTATTCAATGTATATGCTGCCCTTCCCAACAAAGCTCAGAGAAGCTTACAATAACAGAACACAAAAACTTATAAAACAGAAGAATGTACACGAGAATAAAACAACCTAAAAAGGAACAAAAATAGCATAAAAACAAAACCTCCCAAGAGTATCCCAGCTTAGCTTTGTCAATGCCTGCCCAAATAGGAAGTTTTTACTATTACATGCATATAGTCTGATATGAGAATGAATCTCTACAGATATTATATCTCTTTCAAGCTATAATGAAGATCCAAAATTCCCCACCTTAATTTGTTTGGATGTTACCAGTAAGAAACAAAATATCTCAGTACGTTGTCTATGAAGCTTACTGGCCAGGTCATTTGTTTAAACTGACAACCTGTTGCGGGGGAGAAAAAAGAAAATCTTAAATTTTGTAAACAGCAACAAAATAAACATTAACTGATCTGTATACCTAACGAAAGCAGCACAAAATGCAGGCTACAGAGCTTACACTAGAGCTTTCCAGACCAATTGCTGCACTTAGAATCACAGAAAAATAGGGTTGGAAGGGATTTCAGGAGGTGCATGTAGTCCAAGCCCAGGGAATGATCATCTATTTCTAAACCAGTGTTTCCCAACCTTTTCACCCTGTGACACACTTACATGGCCTCCCCCACCCCACAGCACACTGGCTGAGCAGGGCTGAGAGGAAAGTAGAGGGGGGGGCAGCTGCCAAACACTGTGGATCAGGGGGGATAGGGTGGCAAGCAGCTGAATGCTGCAGACCGGGGGGGAAGCGCGGCACAGCAAGCAACAGGAAGCAGGTGGCATAGTGTTTGAATCACTGGCTGAAGCCATGCCTCATGTCTGTCTGGCTGCCCAGAGCAGCAGCAGGCGGGGGGTGTGGCTCCAGCCCAAAATGGCACGGCACAGCTGGACATACCGATTGGGAAACACTGTTCTAAACCATCCCCCTCAACCTGCTCTTAAAAAACCTCCCAATAATAAAGATCCCACATCCTCTCTAGATGACCTGCTCCAATACTCAGCCTACCTTCACAGTTCCTCCTAATTATCTGGTCTAAGTTTCACTGACTGCAATTTAAGATCATTTTGTCTTGTCCTGCCTCCTGCAGTCACAGAAAACAGTCAAATGCCATCCCCCTTAGAAGCCACCCTTTATATATTTGAACACTGTTATCATATTGTCCCTCAATCTTCTCTTCTCCAGGCCAAATAATCCCAGTTCTTTCAACCTTTGCTCATAAGCCCTATTTGTTACACCTCTAATCAGTCTTGTTGCACACTCCCTGGACTCTTTCGAATCTGCCTACATCTTTCTTGATGGAGTTATGGATAACTAACTCCTCCTTCAGTTTTAACTCAAACCTTAACAGCTCTTCCCTAGAGAAACTGGCTGGCAAATAACACTTCCTTACTGCTCTTGCCCGTCCGCCATCATGGTTTTGAACAGAAACATACATAGGAAAATTAGGCTGAAAAACCCTACAGAAGGCCAGCTAGGGCGACCCCTCCTCAAGGCAGGATCAGCTGTATCTAAAACAGTGGCCCTCAACCATTTTAGACTCAAACACTCCTCCTGAGGCTTGAGGCACCTCTTGGGAAATGCCAGCTCTTAGCATTCACTCATTTTTTGACTGCAGAAAAACACTAGAGCCATTCTTCTGTTGCTAAGAGCTCAGAAAGCCCACAACAGGGCAGCGTGTTTTAACACTGTGGATCCCTACTTGAAAACTTTGGGCACATCCAGATGAGCACAGACGTGTGGGATGTGGCGCCGCAGACCTGTCTGCAGTGCCGCACATCTCACATGTAAGCATTCCCTGTGCTGCTACTTCGCAGCATGGTGGGGTTTCTTGACCCCAGGGGATCCTGGGGACAAAAAAATCCTACATCAAAAAGAGCAGGGAAGCGCATGTGGTAGTAACACGTGCTACCCAAAATCAGAGCCTGGCCAGCCAGAACCACAGTCTGGCGGCCAGCCAGGCTTCCTGCCACAGCTGCAGCCCAGGAGGCCCCCAAGTAAGGCTGCTAGGGCCAGCACAGTTTCTGGCCCAAGCCTCCCCTATCCTACCCAGGATAACCTGGTGTGTGCCATAGCACACTTGACACAGGCGTTCCCCCAGGGAAAAGCAGCAGTGGCATAAGGCATGCAGCTACTATTTGTCCCCAGGGAAATGCACATTGCTGCTGCTGGGGATGCACCCTTCGGGTCTCTCTCACAGCAGTAACACTGCATGTCTTCCTGTAGCAAACGTGAAAGGATCTCAAGGCATCCCAGGTTTCCCAGCACCTTGGTTGAGAATCCGTGGTCTGAAACCATCCTACACAAATATTCATCTAAGGTGCCCTTAAAAGCTTCCAGCCACAGAGATTTGGTCCGTTTCAAGCCCCTCTGGAGCTAGGAAGGGCTTCCCACTACCTAACACAGCGTCTCTCAACGGTTTCAGACCCGAGGCACCCCTGGAAAAGCACAGAAAATGCCAGCTCTTTCACATTTTTTTTCCTGAACACTGAAAGATACGGGAGCAGCTGCCCTGCTGCAGAGAACGCAAGAAGGCCATGACCACGGGCTCCTGTTCCAGACCTTGGGGTTTCTCTTGCAAACTGCAGGTGCTGAGTGGCACCTGGAGGGGCTCCCAGGGCATGGGGGGGGGGGCGGGCATGGGAGGACGGTGCAGCAGGCTGGTGGAGAATCAGGCATCAAACGCGACCAGAATTTGAACCCTCGGGGCTGATCTCATCAACCCCATCTGCACCCCGCTTCCCACCAGCCCTGTAGGCACCTACTACCCGCTCCCCCGCCTCAGCTACTTCGAGGGCTGGGGCGGAGCCAAGACGCATGCGCAGCCGGACCCCCAGCCCACTGCGGAGTTGTCGGCCACGCTTAACCCCTCCCGCACCGCACCCCCATGCGCAGGCGGCAGCCAACTGGTGGCGCCCAGCCTCGTTCTGGCCCTGCGGGGGGTGACGCACCAGCCAGCCCGGAGACACCGGCGCCTGCGGGGGAGGAGAGGGGCGGTGACGCAGCGCTTAAGAACCCACCCCTCAGCGCGCGCTCTGGTGCGGTGGTGCTTACCCAAGACGTGTGGCTCCGGGCCGGGCGAGGCGGCGGCTGCAGCAGGCAGCGCAGCAGCCGCACACAGCGCTGCAGGGCCCGCGAACAGCCGGGGCTGGGCTGGGGCGGGCAGGGGCGGGGCCAGCGCGCAGGGGGCGGGATCTGGCGGGGGTGTGGTTCCGCCCCCAGGGTCTCCTGCGCCAAAGCGTGCTCTGAGGCAGAGGCGGAGGCCAGGCAGACGCTGCTCCGCATACCGGGACACGTGACCTCCTCTTGTCAACCACTTCTCTCCCGTCCCCTCCCACGCGGGTTTGCCATACCTCAGATCTGCCTCACTCGCTGAGGCACAGCGCATGCGCAAATGGGGGGGCCCTAACTGAATGTAGGGGGCGGGGCCTTACTGCTGCTTAAACCCGCGGTGATTGGTGGGGGTACAGGCACGTGGCTGCCCTCAGTAATGCCTCCCCTCCAGTCCCTCAGTCTTTCCTGCCTGAGCGTTGTTCCGTTCTCACCCCAGGGGTGTAGGTTGTAGCCGTGTTAGTCTAAGGACATAGGCAGACAAAGTTCTTTGGGTAAATCTGATATCTTTTATTAGACCGACTTAAATAGTTGGAAAACAATTATTAAGCAAGCTTTTGGGTTCAAAAACACTTCATCAGGCTAAGGAAGTTTCAGCAGTTGGTCTGTGCTCTTCCTGGATGGAGTGAAAAGTAAAGAAGCCAGTGGCTGGGCTGGTATGCATACAAGACAGGTAGTCAGTGAAAATGTAGATTGAGGAGTCAATGGGTGAGAGACGGGCGGGGCGGGGAGGGGGGGAAGAGAGAAAGAAGGGGGATGAATTAGTGGAGAGATACCTAGGGAGTCAGCTGTCAGGCAGGTTATAATGTGTCATAAATCCAATGTCTATATTTAGTCCAAGATTTTTAGTGTCCAGGAGGTTGATGAAGTGGAGTTCATAGGCTCGTCTCTGGGAAGTGTTGTGTAAGTTTCCTTTGAGGATCAGGACTGAGAGACAATCACTACACCCCACAACAGAGGCATCAGCATCCCTGGATCTTACAGCTGTACCTCCAGACATGTAATATATCTCATCCAATGCACCAAATGCCCTGATGGAAAATACGTAGGAGAGACCAAACAACAACAAAACACAAGAATGAACACACACTGGAAATCTATCAAAGACAGAAATACCCAGTTACCGGTGGGGGCACATTTCTCACAAGAAAACCACTCTCTCTCCAATCTCTCAGTCCTGAACTGTAGGTCTGTCCTGCCTAGGGTCCTGTCACCTCCCTGTTTGCTCTCTACTTGATGATGTGTCCCCCAAGTTCTTTACCTGCCCCCCCAAGCTGCCTACTGAGGGAGCCTTATAGTTCTTCCCTGATGGGCCCAAGCCCATGATCCACGAGGCCGAGGTGGGCAGGAGTGTGCAGGCAGTGCATCCCAGGTCTGCACTGGCTCTAGACCACACTAGCACCACCGCAAGATCCCAGCCCGGGCCTACTGGCCCCGGAAACCCTGGCCCCATGCTGTCACAGCCCTGCCACTGCCGGGGTCTCATGGAAACCAGCCACAGCAACACTGGGAAATGGAGCTGGGCCACCAGCTGATCCATTCTGCCCACCCCTGTACTAGGCCAACCTTTTTGTCCTACAGCCGGATGGGCAGTACCTCATCCCTCCATGGGCCGGATCCAGACTGCAGACACAGTCCTGCACCTAGGGTGAGCACGCACAGGAGGGTAGCTTGGCCCCAGCCCCGATCCACCCACTTAGGGGAAAGGGGCTTGGCCCAGCCCTGACCCAGCTACACAGCAGCTTGGCCTGGCCCTGTTTTTTGGGGTCAAACTTAATGCCCCACAAGTACTGGGGTGCGCCAGGGAGGATTGCACCATGACACACCTAATTAAAAGATCAAGCAAAGCTTGATCTTAGCCAATGTTAACCGTGGCTAATCTCAATATTCAAATGAGGCCAATTAAGACGCTAATCTGTTAAATGTTCAAAACCAAATATGGAAAAACAGATACATTTGATTTAAGGCAGGCCCCAATTAATAATGTCTCTGTGAGATTAGGAAAGGGGTGGCTGGATAACTTAAAGGTTTGGTCAGCTAATTTTGCTAAATGAATGACAAAGGTGTGGTGCCCGGTGAGCCTTATAGAGGTATTTTTGCGTAAAACAAATGACTCAAGAGGCAAGCACAACAAATATATTGTAAAGAACTAAGTATCAAACATTCATAACAGCACAGAACAGTATATAAAGGGTTAAGCTATTATTATTATTATTTTACACCGATAGTTGACTTTATATACAAATATATACAACAAACAGATCCAGCAAGTTGCTTCACAGGCACTTCACAAACTAGGAGACTTGAGAGCTGACTGGCTCCCTGCCTTACAGAGCAGCAGCTGGCTGGTTGCTTAGCAATTGCACAGCTTACAGACTCTCAGGTTTGCTTTCTCATTAACCCTTTCAAACCCACAAATAGCAATGACAAGAGAAACAAAAAAACCAAGTGAGAATACCACTAACACCCAAACATCAAGCAACACACACATACAAAAATGAAACAAGGACCACTCATTCACTGTCTCAAAACTGTCAGTGTTCACTCCACTCACTTACTAACAATACCACACTCTCAACTCTCCTCCCAACATGTACACAAGAGACCTCTTGGTCTACTGCTCCCAGGACTCCTGCACCTAGTAGCAGCCAAGTTCGTCCCTCACGTACACAAGGGAGGATGATACTTTACCCAGTTCCTTAGCACTTCTCTGCCTTAGGAAGATGTGTTCTTCAATTACTCCAGCCGTATTCAGGCTAGTAACCCACTCAGGAACTAGGGTCAGATGCCCTCTGGTCAGCTTATTAGATGACCACGATCACCCACAATGGACAATGAGAGATGAAAGGCCAAATGCCCATGATAACCTGATTGAGTTCTGGTACCAAGTGGCCACAGACTCCTCTACTCTACACCTGATGTTGCAGCATCAGTGGAATGATGACATGAGGCAGTGCTGTCCACTGGTCCAGTTTTACACTCATCAAGTTTTAACCTCCACATTTTTTAAAGTCAATCTGATAATAATTCAATGAACAACCCATCACACTCATTCTGGCATACATTCTCTTCCATGCACACCACACCTCAATCATACAAACAATCATAATCAACTGAATCACCATTAAAATTACAACTTGTTGAAGTTCATGGTTCCATATACTGGAAGCTGTAGGAGGCCATCCAAAAAAACTCTCCACTTCGAATGAGTCCCTGTTTGATCACCAGTGTCCAAAATCTTGATACTCTGTTGATTATCATTTTCTTCCAGTAGTCGCTTGAAGTCTTCATGAAATGTGGTCAGACAGTTACTGTTAAAGTCCATGCCAATGTGTATTGGCTTTAGACGATCATACAGCACAAAGTTCTTCTTAATTTACAACAATATAATTCTTGGAACCTTATATTCAAAGTCACATCCTTTCAATATCAATACATTGCATAAACAAAAAGTGCTGTTATGCCATTCAACTGAGAATCTGAATTAACAACAATAACTTCCTTACCCAAAGTGTTAATACAAATGCAATGATAACCTATATTACGAACTATAGATGAGTTAAGCAAGTCATTTCTCCTTATCATGTGGTTGCATCTGGCAAGATTTTGATTCAAACACATGTCCTCTAGGTCAAGGGCATGGTTTTCACAAACCATTCCTAAGCGGCTCTCAGAAACACATGCAAAAATATTAATCGACTTCCAGAAGAGCATTATTTACACACATTCCCAAGGTGATAATAGGAAAGATATGCTTAATTTGAGCAGACACTTTTGGTAGAGCTAAAGCATTTGTGGTGCTTTACTCTGCATTATTAACCAGTATCCACCAATCTGCACATTCTTTCTCCATATCCGTTGCCTCACTTAGTACCAATTGTCTTAATTCTAGGGGAAGGATCCTGGCATATCCTTGTCTCAGTATGCCTATAATAATATTTTGAATCCATGCTTGAGCCTGAATACAGAACAAAGCAATAGAGGTATCATTGTCTAATTGACGATTAATTACCTTTTGGACTCATGCTCCACACGTCAGTGTTAATTCCAGTTGGATCTTCTGACAAATCAAATTCACATTTAACACTAACGTTGTTACGTCAGTCTCTACATATCATTAGGATACCTTCTTTGGTGATGTTGGCTCCTACCATGTGAATCGGTGACCATGGGTTCAATCTCCACTCAACTCTGGTCATGATACTTGGTCCCTCTGGGATGCTTTTCTGGCTCACCAGAAGGATGACTGTAGTCATGTATCTTTCAGTATCAGTGACAGGCTCCTACAGCTCAGGCTTTTGAGGTGTCTATACATGTGTTTCAGAGGTGAGGCTTTAATTAGAGTGGCTCTGAGAGCCACTGCATTGAACTCCTCTGGATGCATACACTCCCTTAGCAACCCTGACAGGTCTGTAGCACTATATCCTGGAATTGATTCCAAGGCAGTCAGCCAAGCCACCAACTGGAAACTTTTCATATGCATCCTGGCATACAAATGCCTTAGAGTCCTAAGGACCATTTCCATACTCTGGGTAAAGGCTGAACCTTTTTAATGTGTTAATCACCAGAGGGTATTCAGTTAGATTGTCATTCATAATTTCCCACACTCCATTCAGAAATAATGGTGCCTCAATAACAATCTTGTAATAGGAATAATAAACACCCATTTCAGTACGAAAAGTTTGTGTTTTTGTTTTTTTTTGGGGGGGGGGGGGGTTGCTCTAGCATAGCTGCTACTGTTACTATTTTGCAGCCTGAGTAGAATGTGACTCACATTTGCCCATTACGTCTTCATCTTTCTTACATTCACCACAACAAACCTTGCTTTTGGGGTTCCTTTCTTATAGTAACTAGGACTGCTTACCAATGTGAAAAACACACAAAAAAACAATGCTTTACTTTCAGCTTGGTGTGCCCCCATGCTGAATGCAGCACATGCCCAAAAGAGGCATCACCTTAGTTAGACCCGGCTTGCCAAATGTCTGTATAGATCGCACACTTCAATGGGGCTTTTTGGCACTTTTATCTAACAGATGTTTGAATTAGCTGTCAGCACCCTAGATC